TTTAGTGACAATGGTCTAGCCTACAGTCACAATAATGGAGCTTAAAAAATAAGATTATATTATTAGTATGAATTTTTCCTTATCTTTTTTGGTCTGTAAAAATGTCTGTGTTCATGCAGGTACATATGTGTGTAAGCATATGCACACATATGTGTGAAAATGTGTCTAGGTTAGAGACTGTTGAAAGAACCTGCGTTTGTGAGCAATTGTCCACTTTTTATTTAAGTTAATTTATTTTTACACTTTTGTATATATGTATGTGTGTGTGCGTGGGCACATGTGCACATGGGTATGTGTGTGCACATGGGTATGCCATGGAGCATGTGTGATAGTCAGAGGACTTGTGGGAGTTGATTTTATTCTTCCACTATGTAGGACAGGGGGACTTTTACCTGCCTAACCATTGTGGTGATTTGAAAGAAAATGGCCACCAAAGGGAGTGACACTATTAGGAAGTGTGTCACTGTGGGGACAGGCTTTCGGGTCTCTTTTGCTCAAGCTTCCCTCGGTGTGACAGTCAGTTAACTTCCTGTTGCCTGCAAGATGTAGCACTGTCAGCTCCAGCACCACATCAGCTTTCATGCTGCCATGCTCTCCAGCATGATGATAATGGACTGAACCTCTGAAACTGTAAGCCAGTCTCAATTAAATGCTTTCCTTTATAATAGTTGGGATGGTGATGGTGTATTTTCACGGCAATAGTAACCCTAACTAAGACAGTTATCATGCCAGTTTCTACCTTGCTGCGTTTAGCTAATGTGTGACACTGGCCAGGAGTTCAGTGAATATGCTAGGCTGACTAGCTATGCGTCCCTGTCATCTGCCAGACTCTGCCTGCCCTAGCACCTCAGCACTGAGAGGATATACCTGGTGTCTAAAGGTAGAACTCAGGTCCTCATGGTTGTGCAGCCACCAATTTTATTGACTGACCTGTCTCCCCAGCCCAACTCTTTTTGAGATGTGATATCACTCTAGCTATCACCCAGGCTAGCTCAGGACTCATAATGTAGCCCAAACCAATTTTTCGGCCTCCGTCTCTCAAGTGTTGAGATTAAAGGCATAAGCTATCACACACATCAAGAATTCCAAAGTCAAAACTAATTTTGTTGTTGGATTAAGGGAGTCTCTTGGAAGTGGGTATTGGTGTCATCTCAAAGTTATTGTTTTTGAAGTTTATCCTGCTTTGTAGTATGGTTTATGACTCATCTAAGTGTATTAATAAAACCACATTCATACATTTCTGTAACTATAATATTACTCAAAAGTTTGGCAAATATTTAAATGCTCTTTACGGAAGATGGAAGTTGGAACTCTTTAATTAGTAAACCACCATCAATGGCAAATAACAGTAGTTTTTCAAAAAACCTCCAACCTCAAGTCTTTCCCTACGCCTTTTCCATCTTCACATATCTTTTGGTTTAAGAGACCACTTCTTAGACTCTCTCTTGCCTCCAGGCTTCTGTGGAATGTGTCTTTGAGAGCTGCTTTTATGCAGTTGTCTCAACCCAGGGATTCACCCAAGACTATAAGGGCACTCGTCATATGCCACACTGCCGTATGGTTCATTTGCGAATGTCTTCTTGCAATCCTCTTGGCTTCCCTTTGATTTTTGCGATTTCAATTTCAATTCCATGAACTATTTTAACATATTTAAACTCAAAAGAAAATTATTAGCTCCAAAGTTCATAGGTTACATAGGTTACAAATGCAGTCCTCTGCAATGGAGAGTCCTCATAAACACATGTGTGTCTATCCCAGATGTTACTGGACAAAGTCATCTAAAATAGTGAGTGCCTGCTAAACCTTACAGGTTTCAAAGAGGTATGATGTAGATATGAGGCATGATAGGCCTAAAGGAGTACCAGGAAACTTATTCAGAAGGCTACTCATTGCTTTGTTTTATTTTGTTCCTTGAGACAGGATCTTATTGTATGAAGAAAGCTACGTTCATATCTGCCATCCTTCTGCATAAGTCTTCCAAGCAGGGGGATTTCAGGCCATCTCCTGTAGACTGAAGACTCTTGTAGCCTCTGTTTTACTGTTTTTTTTGTTGTTTAGTTTCAGTCTTAGAACATGAATTATGTCCCAGTGAAAGAAAAATCGATGCCTGAACATTCAGTAAAGAATTTGGTACTCTTACTTGGCAATCAGCTGATTGACATTCTCAACATCATATGATCTCACAGTCTATCTCACAATTCCAACCTCTTGTCTCATGTTATGCCACGACTGAGAAGCAGTGTAAACTAGATAGATGGTTCAGCAAACTATTTCCTGTATCTGGCACCTAACATTGTACAGACATGAAAGAGTGGTTCACGTGTGTCCTCACAAACACTGTTCTCAGCAAACACTGTGGCGGACAGCTCTAATCTCAGCTATCCAGAAGGCTAGAGCTGAAAGACTGTAGGATTCTATCTATCTGTTCATGTGTCAGGATGTTAGTGTAAAGGTGTACATATATGTGGAAGTCAGAGGTTGATGTTGAGTGTTTTCCTCTGTCATTCTCCATCTTTTTTTTAATTTCAATTTTATTTTGTGTGTGTGGGGTGTTATGCCAACATGTATGTATGTGCACCAAGTACATGTCTGGTATCCATGGAGGTTGGAAGAGGCACTGAATCCACTGAGACTGGAGCCAAAGATGGTTTTGAGAACCCCTGTGGCTACTAGAAATTGAACCCAGGTCCCCTGACATAACCACTGAACAATCTCTCCATCCCCAATCCTCCATCTTATTTTTTTAGATACTGTTGCTCATTGACCCTGAAGCTTACCACTTGGCTAGATGAGCTGGCTAGCCCTTGAGTGCTGGTGTTAAGGTATGCCTTGCCACACTTAGCTTTTTATTTGTGTTCTGGGAAACCAAATTCAGCTCTTCTTTCTTGCCCAGTAAGCACTTTACAGATTGAGCCATTTCTACAAGCCCTTCACTCCATGTTTTTACTGGTCTAATAGCATTCCATATAGTTCATAATAGTGAACTACATATTGAACAAAATTTAGCCTTTTTTATTTTTGAGTTACAGGAAGCAATGAATATCTCTGTACATGTTATTCTTATGTATACATTTGGTTATTTTGGTACCATTTGAACTAGTTTTCAATTTATACTTACTTAACACTCATTAGAACAGATCAATTCTAATAGCTTCTATCTTAGCAACCCTTTCTATAACAAATTTTGAGCCTAATGTTTCCATTTAATCTTCTCATTCCAAGGCATGCCAAAAGGTTGTATTGTCCAAGTATTCCAACCAGTAATGCTGCAACACTTTGGGCTGTTGAAATGCTTAAAATAGAAAATTTAAATTAGAACTTGAAAAAGAGATACAACTACAGCCTTCAAAGTGCAGCCTTTAGCAGTATGTTGAAGAGCAGATTCCTTCCGGCATTCCTCATATATTATCAATGGCCAACAATGAGCATATGTTGCAGGAATGTTTAATGTGTCTGTTGGCAGTTGTCTTATTTTAGGGAGCTGTGTCCTAAGTCAGTTAATATTTTCTTGTGCCATTATTGCATTCTCTATAACAAATTTGATAGGACATATGGAAATTTCTGGAAATGTGGCCTGAGCATTCCAATCATAATACCTTAATGTGGCATTGCCATTGCAGTGCAACGTAATAGGGAAGGGAATGCTTGCCAGAGGCACAGAATATTCTGTTGGTACACAGTTTGAGCATATTGTCTTTTGCAGTGATGTCCTTGAGTTCATTTAAATGAACTAGTGATACATTACTGATCTAGTGTGTTAATAAAAAAACACAGATTAAGGAAATAAGAGAGAATGGAGCAGGTCCCGCTCAAACAGTAGGGGGATGACTCCAGTTCAACTGAAAAAAAAGCAGTATCTCCTTTTTGTTTAGTATTTGTGAATTTATGGATTAATATTACATCAGGGGAGGAGAAGAAAAATATCTTCTTAAAATTTTTTATTGCGCAAAGTTTTCCAATCTTCAGTTTTTTTCCAATTGCAACAGAAGAGTGACTTGAGAAAAAACTGTCAGATTTGCATCAGTTTATGATATATATATGTTTATATATATTTATATATATACTGAAATCTTGCATAAGAGTTCAATGCTAACCCAGTCATGTAGGGCCACCCCTGTATTTTTCTCATCTAGAACCTACCTCAGGGGAATCGCTAGTTTCATTCAAAGGGATCTTTATATAAAATAAAAATTGATATCTTGTATTTCAAGGAAAAGTCATGCATCGATCGACAGTGGATATACTAGGGGAACATTTAAAGTGCACCATATGGAAAGAGTTTTGGGAATTTTTTAAGAGTTATTGTATTTCTTTAACACTGCATGTGTGTGCATCTGCATGGATTGTGCGCAGAAAAGCGTGGTGGCCCACAGAGGCTGGGAGAATGCATGACATCCCCTCGTGCTGGAATTACAGACACTTGTGAGCCTCGAGTGCATCGTCGGTGCTGGGAATTGAACTCTGGTTCTCTGGAAGAGAATCACATGCCCTTAAACTCTGAGTCATTCACCAGACCCAGGTTGTGTTTGTTTGTTTGTTTGTGTTTAAATATAGGAGTGAAAATGACTAAATATACTTCCGAAAGAAAAAGAAAACAAGCCCAAGCAAATGAGACAAAATTAAATACACTGCACTTTTTCTTGTAAAAATTACACGTCAGTTTTTAGAAGGCCATGAATTACATGGGGGCAGACTGTGGTAGCTACTAAATTCCAAGGAAAGCAAGCCATGCCAAGTCCTATCTTGACACAATTTTAAAGGGTTACAAACCGCCACAATGTTATTTGTGAAATAGTAAATTTACTATATGTCAACTCTCATGTACCTTCATAATATTACCAAGTGAACAGTCTTTAAATTGTATGAGCTACATAACAGGGTCAAAACCAAACCAGACCAAACAACTGCACGTCCTTTTCAGCCCAAGCAGATTCGTAAGTGACAAAAATAAGGACATTTGCAACATTTCAAAAGCCAGATGATCTATGTGTGAGGCTTACCTTTCTCTTGCGCAGTCTGACTTGATTGTCTATGGTCTCCTGGGTGGCCACTGGGCCCCTTAAGTGTAAACACTGCATGCCATCTTCTGTGTTGACCTTGAGAGGGCTTTTGTTTTGATGTTCTGAGAGCCCACTCCTCTCCAGGTCATTTTCTGCTGACATTCCACCGGGACAGGAAGGAGGCTGCAGAAGGCAGCTTCCGCAATCTGCTTTTAATAATGGCAGCCCTCTGTCTGCATAAGGAGCAGCCAAGAACTCCACTTCTACTACGCCGGGGCGATTTTTTTCCTGTTCCTCTTTAGGAAAGTCAGGTTTCCTTCGTTGCTGAGCAATTACCGCAGAATTAAGCAATTGTGTCTCAGGTGTGGCATCTTCCACATTCAAAGAATCGAATGTACTTACTTTGGGCACATCTTTTGTTTCGTTTGAACTTATATCCTCACAAAGCTCCAGGCTTTTAGTTACAGCATCAGCACCTTGCCTCCCCACACTTTCTTCTGCTGGAGACGTATCGGCTATACTAGCCTTCCTCCAGGAGTTATGTGAATCTTGGTTACTTTGCATAGTGGACAGTGTCTTCATGAGGGAGCCCGCTCCGTCGACACCACATTGGCCATCTCTGTCATGTGTTTGGGGAGTTAAAATCTGTGCATCATGGGTAAGGTGGAGTTCAGAATCAGTTTCCTCATCAGAAATGTGTACTAGAGTTTCTGTGCTGGCCTCCAGAGACAGAAACCGCCCCTCCCCTTCCTGGCTGCCTCTTTCATCCACTTCCTGTGAAATATGACCCATTGGCCTCCCAGGAAAGTCTCTGGGCTCTGGCCCACACCAGCAGTCTGGCAGAGAGGCGCACTTCTCTTTATGGCCAGCATTTAAGGTTGCATCTTTATCCATACTTGCCTGCAAGCTGTCGGATGCCAGTCCGTGATGACATGCTATGTCATACTCATCAGAATTAAAAGGCTGCTCAGTCTGTTGGGTCACATGCTCTTCCCAGCTCCTTTTTCTGATAGCTACAGACATGTCACCATAGCTTAACAACAGACAAGGAGATGCATTCCATATGACTCTTGCCGGGGATGGAACTTGACGAAAGATGGTTTTGAATTCATGGATCAAGGAAGCTAGCGTGTTCTGCCATTTTGTCGCCTGTTAAAAATTTTGAAGAAAAATGCTGTTATAGATACATTTCCAAGGTAGCAATATTTCATGGCAAAGAATGTAAATCTGTACTATTAAGCAGAGGTAGGAAATAATACAAAACCTTTGCTTAATAGCCTTAATGATTTTGTTTCTCAGAATCAGTCTAATATTAGATAATAATTTGCATTTGATATTTTTAGTGAAACTTTATCAGTACTTTAAAAAAACAATTGGGCTGGTTTATTTGTGAATGAAGATATACGCACAAAAACATTTGAAGCTCCATTAAGAAAATATTTGAGAAAAATATTTGAATTGTGATACGTAATAAAATTGACTGGAAAAACTAACTTATTGCTCTGGTTTTGCATGCTTTCTTGATATTGTTTTGTGAACAAAAGCCATTAAGGAAATTGATTTGCTGTTTGGTTTGAATTGAAACAAAGGACACCAGGGAACCAGTTCTGCAAACTGGAGCAATGGGGGCAGCATTGCAATGCACTAGTGTTTGTAAAAGAAACCTTACTGGTCCCAGTAACCATGATGTCCATACCCCAGGGTGTAACAGGAGAGCAGAAAAATACAGCTTAGTTAATATTAACTCACAATTCATGAAGAAGAAAGCATGATGCATTCCATTATAAGGCTTTTGGATAGATACTTCAACCACACATTTATTTTCTGCCATGATTAATATCATGGAAGTCTTGTAGAAGCCTAAAAAAAAGCATGTAAGTGTTCAAAGCAATAGATCTAGAACATAAGCCAATACTGTAAATTAGATCAAGCTTCCAAAGGCCACGCTCAAATGACCAATGGAGCTCATTGTCTCTACAGAACTGTCATATTTTAACCTTCATCATCCTCTTCCCTAATATGTTTACTATGTATGAACTCTAAACCCCCATGAAGCGATTCAAAAGAGAGATGTGAGCATCAATTGACAATTAGGTCCAGTTTTCAAACACTCAAGTCTCATTCTCCTTCCTTGTGAAGCTGTTAGTACATTTCTGTTAGGATTTGAACCATACGAATTTAATCAGACAACAAAATCACGTGTAAGATAAGGACAAAATGGGAGAAACTTCTGGGCCTGCATCCTCTGCCTTGAATTATTTAAACTAGTTAAAGGAAACAAGTTGTGTCCGTGTTAAAGTCAACCCTTCTAAAACTGACTTAAGTCAAATGTCAACCTACAGTGAAAACAAATTACTTGACTGTGAATGAAAAATCGCATTGAAAGAGCAGACAGTTTTTAGTTTCTGCTCAGACAGGAACTGCCAGCATATAATGTTGCCCTCAGCCAGCCATAAACCAGATTAACTGCTGGGTTGGCTTCAATCCCATCTACTGAAAAGGACTCTAACTCCCCACCAAAACCTTCAAGTTATTCTAACTAAGCACATGCTAGAAAGGTAAATAGTCACACCCTATAAAGATGGGTGGAATTGAGATGTGCTAGCATTTTGGTACCCTGGTAGAACCAAATATCCTTCTGGATACTTTTTGGTTCCTTCTGAGGTCTGTGGCCATCTTTGAAAATGGCCATCATTCATGTTTTCCATTTGGCATTCACCTTGCACCAAGAAGAAAAATATAAAGCCTCCGAATTCCATGCATAAGTCATTATAGGGTGGGAGGCTAAGGAAAGTGGAAAAAACGCTCAAATGCAGGCCAGCCAGACGTTTCTGCTTTCATGGGCAAATTTGGGTTGTAATAGGGTGGTTCTGTTTTAGATGCTTTCTTTTCTTTATTTTTATCCTGTGAAGAAGGAACAGGCTAACTTAAGAAGTGCCAAGTGGTATTACTGTGTCATTCCTAAGCCCCATTTATGTTTAGGTTGAGCCTGAATTTTGGTTTTATTTCTTTTGCTGAGGAGAAATACAGTTCTTTGAGCTCCTCAGAAACTTCGAGCTGAATCTGAAAAATCAATACACAGTATTTTTCTTCTTCTAAGAACTTATGGTAGTTTTACCTTATTTTTCTCACCATGGCAAGTAGGTAAGGACTTCTGTCATATGGAAGGATGATAGTTCAACAAATTCTGAGACTATCTAACAACACAGAGACTGTAAATTAATTAGGTTCAATTTACTATAACTCTGTCATCATTTCTAATCTAGACTTTCAGGGCATTTAAAAATCATTTTGTGAACTTATTCTGTCCATTTTATGGACAAAATATCCCCTACTTATTATTATGAAAAAAATGTTTTCAACACTATTCCATATTTTGTGGTTTGATTGGTTTAAAAACATTTCTTCTCCATTATCAGTCCTATGCACACTTCCTATTTAAATCCAGATTTTTAAATTTCATATTTAATCTTCCATTTGAAGCCAGGGAAATTATTAACAAATAGAAGCATTGAGTTATTGGCACTGCATCTGAATATACCAGCCTAGTTTTCTAATCATCTGACCTGAGTAAAATCCATTCTGTATTATGTATTCTTTCTACAAAGTCCAACTTTCCCGAAGGGAGTCCATATCAAGTTGCTTTATTTAAAATTCTCCTTTAAACTAGGGATTACTATTCTACATTTTTCTGCTACATTTCTTTACTAATCCCTCTCATGCAGTCTTATTCAAAATGAACACAGTTGCTGAGGGTTTGGATGGAGGATCTGGAAAAACCTAGATCATTCTAGGGTGTTGATTTTATGAAGTGAATTTCCATGGCAATTTTTATACTGTGTCCATGTTTCTAGAGACCATACACACTTTTGGTCATTTGTATGTCCTTGAAATTCCCAGTGAGGTGTTCAAACCTACTTTCTGTGATGATATTGAATAGCAAGTGTAGACAGACTGTGATTTCAAACTTTGGGTAATTTTGTACAACTGTTATATAAGCATCTCATATATGTCAGAATTAAACACCCTTGAACATATAGTACCTAAAAATGAGAAGTGGAGACATTCTAGTTTGAGAATCACTGGCCAATTTGTCATAATAAATGATCATACCATAGTTGACATTTACTTCAGAAACACACACACACACACACACACACACACACACTCACCTCTCACCATTTGTACTTCCAATAAGAAGAGCCTGTATTCACTATTCTCAGTTCAACATGATGCAAGAAGAAGAAGGCATAAGAAAAGCCTCTGTGGCTGGAACAATGTATGGTAGTATTCAGTGGAGAGCAGAAATATAGCAATCACTATGAAAACTTCATTTACTGTCTAAAGAACAGTAGACATTATGCTGAACATAGAGAATGGAAATGCAAATGCTGTATTGTCTTTTTGGTCATACCTTTTCATTTTATGGAAGATACTCATATAAACAAAACTAGTAGCATCATTGAAAGATAGTTTATGAAAATCTTCACACCAGTTGGGAGTATCACCCCCTTGTCTTTCTTCCTTCTTTAATAGAATAGAGAGTGATGTTGGGTGTGGTAGATGCATTAGATAAATCCTCACAGAATGAACTCTTCCTTGGTTCATTTTCGGCCTCTACCACATCTAAGTCCAAAGGTGAGTTCTGTAGAGTTTCCTACTTGAGGAAAGATATCTTTTTTTTAAAATGTCTTTGCTTTTTTAAAAATTTAAATTAGAAACAAGCTTGCTTCACATGTCAATCCCAGCTCCCTCTCCCTCTCCTCCTCCCCCGCCCTTCCACCAGACCCCCCCAGACTCCCACCCAATCCCCACTCTGATCCCCAGGGAGGATGAAGCCCTCCATGGAGGAGCTCCAGAGTCTGCCATTTCATTCAGGGCAGGGCCTAGGCCCTCCCCCCTTAAGAGTCGAGGCTGAGAGAGCCTCTTGAGGGAAGATATTTTTCTTCTGCTTCCAGAGACTTATTATTCAAGACACCCTATGGGAAGGATAATGGATGAAGTGACAAATGCTAGAAAATTATTTGAATTTTAAAATTTGTTAGAAATTATTCTAATTTCAAAAATCACAGAGAAGTGACCATCCCTCAGGAGCACTTCATAGAAATTGGAGGGAAGCTTTTCTTCAAAGAAAAACATGAGCAAAGTACATCATATGCACGTGTGAATCATTCATAATAAAGTCCATTATTCCCTGTGTTCTCTTTTTAAGGTTTCTTTTTTTAAATTTTGAAGTGTGTGTGTGTATTTGTGCAGGCACTTTTTACTTCCAGTGTCTGCAGAAGTCAGAGGAGTTAGATCCTATTGGAACTACAGGTAATTATGAGCTACCTGATGTGGGTACTGAGAATCAAAGTTGGGAGCTCTGAAAGAGTTATACCTACTTTTAACTACTTAGCAATCCCATCCTTCTGGTGCTAATTAACATATCACACAATCTCCTGGGACTAATGATAAAGTCTTTGAAACAAAGAGAATCATGGACTGTATGGAAGAACAAAAGAATAAAAATTGAGTGTATTCAGAAGCATCACTGAAATTTCAGAACATAGGTTCATAGACAAAATATCCTTAATGATTTCAGAGAAATAGAAGATTATATTTGAGAGATACTGAATGAAGATGGTGTTAGATTTCTTAGAAGCAATACTGGAGATAAGATGGTAAGCCAAGATATCTTTAAAATCTTGGGTAGGAATTTGTTTCTGCTTTAAAATATATTTTTAGAAGTGACTAGAGAGACAAGGAAACAAGAAAGCCAAGAATTCAGTGTAAATGTCTGTGCAATAGAATTGCAGTGATGGAAATTCATATAGTGAGTTTCTGTAAGAGATGTCTCTAAGAAAACCATCTTTAAAAGGAAGAGTAAATGTGTACACTGAGAGGAAATGTTTAGAGATGACAGACAATTTGGGTGGAAAATGATTAATAGCAGGAATTACAGGGACTATCAGAGGAACCAGTTATTAACTCTAGGAATAACAGTTCTGTCAGAAAGGAAATGAAATCATACACACTACCTGGATAATCTGTATATTGACATAGTGCCAATAACACAAGCAATCAATATTGACTTAAAAAACAAACAAAATTAGAAATAACTGTTTTTAAATATGAGGTTTGTGAGAAATTGAGTCAGATATATTGGG